CAACGCAAAGGTGAAGAGCGAAGCCACGCGAGCATCCTCGGCAGCACATATATGCATGTGCTGCAGACAGACCGTACGCGTCTCCTGAACATGTATGCATGCATGTATAGATTTATCCTAGCAACGCGTGGTTTCTGACCTCTACGCTCACCATCTTGGGCTCTGCGGAGGGCATACGAGCATAGCCTTCGAATATTCCATGAATCCTTGTAGGCCTGCTTGCTGTCCACTTTCCATTTCATCTTCTTGTACATGGTTATGACCTGGAGAATTTGAGATGCGTGGCTGACATGGTTATGTCCCTCAAACACAATACATGAAATGCAACCAAAAAGCTTCCTTCTCCAACTTTCTTGGGGCGTTGCAAATCTCCCACCCATACCGCAAGGCCCGCTCAACCAGTGGCACATTTTTCTTGAGGTCCTCCATCCCGACTGTGTCCCCAGCCTCCATGTGCATGTGAAGCCAGGGCGAACCTCGTTTTTTTCGACCCTTGGTCTTCTTACACTGGGCCCATGCTGCCCCCAGCTGCATGTTGAACTACCCGGCCACCAAAACTGAAACAAGAAATGCCTGCATGCAAACATGTGTCATGAACGATTGCAATGCAGCAGCTAAGTCATACATTACATGCAGCTCATTCAAAGCAATGTGCAGGCTATCCAGGAAGCAACAATGATCAAATTTGACAGTTGAGTGGGGAGGGCGCACCTTCAAACCGAGGTTGGTTGCCATCTCACCGCTGTCCATGACCTGCAGGCAGGGCTGGAATCACACATATCGCATGGATTGCATTGGCTGTATGGTCATACGCTATGCTTCAGGCAGCAAAGGCTGAACATGAACTGCATGCAGACTAATGTCCTAGCAAGCACAGTTTTTCATCTCAGTGCGAGAATCATGCCCTGGGGCGCTTCTCGGGAGGTGGCGGCTCACATATGTACACGCCTCCCACATTGAGCAGCCTTTTCTGGTTGCCGTTCCTGTCCACTGCCTCCTGCCACGTTCTGCTGCTGTCAGCGTTGCCCGTCCATGACCACTCCGCAGGACTACTGGAGGACCACCAATTCCATCCCCAGCTGCTATCATGCCACTGGCTGTCAT